TGAGCACCTGTGTCAGGTGCTGGGATTACAAGGTGAATAAGAAAGCATCCTTGCTGTCCTAGACTGTGCAGGCTGGTGGGGACCCAGATAGCTGGAGTACAATCATGTAAGCACCAGGAGGAAGGGTTGCCCAGGAGAGGCCAAGGGAAGCCTGAAGGAAGTGACCCCTGAACTGAGCCTTGGACCAGGACAGGAAAGGGTGGTGGGGTGCTCGGGGCAGGAGAACAGCATGTACCAGGGCACAGAGGCATGAGAAATCAATGCATTCTGGGCATTGGTGGTTACAGGAGACAGAGTGTGAGGCTGGAGGGTCCAGGGGGCCAGGTAGGAGGGGGCAGAACAGAAAGCCTTGCCCACTATGCTGACAAGCTGTGCCCTGTCCTGAGGGTTTTGCCGGGGAGGCGGTAACAGGATGACACTGGAGCTTTAGAAAGATCACTGTGGGCTGGAGGAGAGACTGGAGGCCTGTAACAACCTGGACGATGGTTCAGGTGAAAGCTGATGCAGCCTCTGCTCAGGCAGATGCAGTGGTGCTGAGGAGAAGGGGTGGACTTGAGAAATATTTAGTGTATGCAAACGGACTTGTTTTTTGGGATGAAGAAAATGTTCTGGAACTAGACAGAGGTGATGTTTGCACAACATTATGAACGTACTAAATGTCATTAATAATAACATTTGTAATATGTATTTTACTTGTTTGATTGGCTATGGGGATTGAGGCAAAGAGTGGAAGATAAGGTTCCTGGATTAGGTACCCGGGGGATATGGGTGCCGCGGGCTGACGGAGACAAAGCCAGAGAAAGATAAGGGCAGAGCCAAAGTCTCGGTGGCGCAGCTGGTTTGAGGGGCCTGGGGGACCACTAGGAGGAGATGTCAACCGCTGGCCCCGTGGGAAGCTTGATGGTCAGGGGAGTGGCCAGAGATGGAGTGGACTAGAGGGTGGGCATGTGGAGGTGTACAGTGCGGGGGGGTTGAGCTTCAGAAAGGATGAGACCCTGGGAAAGTCCAAGTCTCCCGGGGGAAAAAGGACGGTTTGTCAGAAAGGTGGAAGAACACCAGGGAAGAAGGTCTACGAGGCCAAAGAAAGAGGCTCTGTGCTAACACCGGGGTCCCAAAGGCTAAGGGCTGGACATGATAATGGCATCTATGAGAGGGTTCTAGTAGCAGGGAGGCGTGGGGGCCAAGGCCAGACCTGCTAGGTAGGGGCGCCTGAGAGGTGAGGAAGCAGAGACGGTGATTAGAAACCAGGCATTGGAGAAGTTTGACTGAGGAAGGGAGTGGATAGATAGTGGGGCACAAGATAAACGGGGGGGTCTGGGGGGGTGGGGGGATTGTTTGTGATTTTTCTTTTTCCTAAAAAACCAAGAGCTACCAATCATGTTTGTAGACTGAAAGGAAAGAATAGATACTAAAAGTGGGGTGGAGGCTGAATAAAGACAGCGTGAGAGCCTGGGGGAGGAGGGTGATGCCAGGGATGGGCTGGGAGCCCAGGTGGACAGGCTGGCCCTGCCCCACCACGGGATAGACATGGCCTCTGAAGCCAGGAGGGAAGTCAGGAGGACGGGTGGGGAGGAAGATAAGCCTGAAGCCGGGGCAGGGCGGGAAGTGGAGGGAGTTCCCTCCAGACAGCACTGTGTTCTAGGTGAAGAGGGAGCTGAGGTCATCTCCTGAGACTGGCCGGCTGGGGCTGGGCGGGGGCCCGAAGTAAAAGGAGAGGAAGGGCCAGGGCGGACCAAGCACCTCAACCATGGAGTAGGCCACATGGAGCAGGCTGGCAGGTCATGCACGTGCAACGTGGTCCTGGGTGGCCTGAGGAATGTGAGACCTGGGTCCCAGCCCCCACTCTGCCAGCACCCAGTGGTGACCTTGCACAGGCACCTTGTATAAAACAGGGCAGAAGCCTGAGGAGGGAGTAGGAGAGCCTCCCGGCTCTGGGTCCTGCGGCTCTGAGGTCTCCCCTGAAGGTACGAAGACCCTTCTCTAGGAAACCTGGGCAGGGAGAGATCTACCTCCCCCTGAGGTGAGGACAAAGATGGGAGAGAGATTGGAGCAAGAGAAGCAGAAGCCCAGAGGCACACGTGTTGGCAGGGTGTGGTCTGGGCTAGAGCAAGGGCACAAGGGCTGGAGTGGACAGAGCGAGGGAGGTGCAGGAGCCATGATGGTGGGTGAGCTAGGACCATAGGAAACCATTATTTACTAATCACCGCATGCTGGGCTGGCACGTCACCTCTTTTTATCTAATCTCATCTCATACTGATGCATCACCCTCATTTTACAGATTGGGAAAAAGGCTCAGAAAGACAGAGTAACAGTGGCTTTAAAGATTTGAGTCAGGCCTATGGCTCCAGGCTCTGGACAATCAGGTTTTGGGAAGGGGAGGTTCTGGTGCTGATGTCCTGCTATCCGGCTCTTTTTGGACGAGTCGGTTGTTTCTCTGAGGTGCAGAGATATCATCAGTCAATTAGGTTGATTATGAAGATAATGGACATCCTGCCTCCATGGGTTGCCATGGGGATCAAACACCCATCGAAGCACATGGACACACGCACAGGAGACCCGCCAGACCGGCTTTGCTAAGTAGCCAGCACGAGCCCTCTCTGTGCAGAGCTACTGCTCCAAGCCTTGGCTCAATAAACCAGTGTCACCCACACACATCATCTCCAAATAGCTCTACAACTGTCTGCAACCCAGTCACCCCGACTCTGCGTGGAATGAAGTGACCTCTGACAAGGGGATCCTGTTCTGTGGGCTCTCCCTCTATTCAGCCCCCAGACCCAGCCCAGTCCCCTCCTTCACACGGTCCAGATGAAGCAAAACAAAACCTGCTTATCTATTTGTGTGTGTGGGCATGTGTTTCTGTGTGTGTGTTGCACTGCCGTGCAGCACGCGGGATCTTAGTTCCCCAACCAGGGATCGAACCTGTGCCCGCTACAGTGGAAGCGTGGAGTCCTAACCACTGGACCACCAGGGAAGTCTCCAAACCCGCTCATCTTAATGATTCAAAATTAGCTCTAAAGTGGATGACAGACCAGATTTCAAAGACAGGCAGGAGCCCCACTTCCCATGCCCAAGCACAAAATATTGCAGATACCATTGTAGCCTCATGGGTAGATGGGAAATGATATCTAATCTGTTTTAGATCATTTAGGAGAAAAAAAAGTCACAACAACAATTTAAACTATGTTCTGACTTCGGGACTTCCCTGGTGGTCCAATGGTTAAGAATCCGCCTTCCAGTGCAAGGGACACGGGTTTGATCCCTGGTTGGGGAACTAAGATCCTCAACTAAGCCCGCACGCCACAACTAGAAAGAAGCCCCAGCACAGTGCAAGGGACACGGGTTTGATCCCTGGTTGGGGAACTAAGATCCTCAACTAAGCTCGCACGCCACAACTAGAAAGAAGCCCCAGCACCGCAAGGAAAGATCCTTTTTTTTTTTTTTTGGCTGTGCCGTGCAGTTTGTAGGATCTTAATTTCCAGACCAGGGATTGAACCTGGGCCTATGGCAGTGAAAGTACTGAGTCCTAACCACTAGACAGCCAGGGAATTCCCAAAAGATGCATAAATTTAATTAACTAAAGATTAAAAGCTTCTTCATGGAAATAAAAAATAGGACACATGACAAACTGAGTAAAATATTTGCATAGTACCTGAGAAAGAGCACATTCCTTTAATTTATAAAGGGCTCAAACAAATCAACCAGAAGTGGTAAATATGGGCAAAGTGTGTATGAACCAGCAGTTTATGGGGGCGGAAATGTAACAGACCAATAAACATAAAAAGCATACTCAACCTCACGGAAGACCAAAGAAATACAAATCACAGCAATGATATATCACTGCACCTCAATCAGATTGCCAAAAATAACAAAACATTGATAATATTCTGTGTTGGTGAGGATGTGGGAAAATGGAACACTTTTGATGGAAATGTTCATCCATTTGGAGGAGCACTTTGGCGATATCTTTCAATACTGAAAATGCACAAAACATTTGAATCAACAATTTGACCAATAAATAATAATAAAATACTCACGAAAGTACAGAAGGTATAAGTTATAAGTATAAGCAAGATTGTCTTAATAGCAAAAAAGTGGGAAAATACCTAAATGTCCATCAATAGAAAACGAGGCAAATATATTAGGGCACAGGATTCCGAGTTGCCACTAAAATGATAAAGATCTGTATTTCTTGATATGGACAAAAGTCCACATGTGTTATGGTTGTTAAAAAGAAGTTATAAGGTAGAATGTTTGACTGGTCCTATTTTTTTGTAAAAGCAAAGAAAAACAAGCAAAAATTGTGTATGTACATGATGAATGAGCAGAACAAGTCTAGAAGACAACACAAGGGTTTTCTCTGAGTAGTGGTACTTACTATGAAGACTGTCACTTTATACTTTATATAATACCATGTTTTCTGAAAATTTAACCCACACCACGTAATAAGAAACATATCGTATATACGAAATACTATATATTATATATACATAATACTATATAGTAAATATATACACATAAATAAAGTATTATGCATACACGTTGGGCAGAGGTGAAGTAAGGTACCAAAAGCAGAGGGTCGTTTATGATAAGCTTTAGGGCTCCTATCCCGAATACATTTGCGGCTCTCTGCAGTAGACCGTGCCTTCTCCTGATTCCTCCCTGCTTCACAACGGCTTCCCTCTCAGGTCACCGGGAGCTGCTGGTTGCCTAACCTGGAGCTCTGAGCTCTCTCTGTCCTGGACACTGACACCCAGGCTCCCCTCTGCTGTTGCCTTTCTCTCCTGAGAGCATTTCTCAGGTCACCTCATTTGTTTCCTATTTGTCCAATGTCTTGGGGATGGAAGGGTGGGTAGAAGAGTGGAGTCCCTCATCAAATGTGGGAGGCAGAGGGACTTCCCTGGGGGTCCAGTGGGTGAGACTCCACGCTCCCAATGCAGGAGGCCCGGGTCCGATCCCTGGTCAGGGAACTAGATCCCGCACGCATGCCGCAACTGAAAGTCCGCATGCCACAACTAAAAAAGATCCCGCGTGCTGCAACTAAGACCCAGCGCAGCCAAAATAAATAAATTAAAAAAAAAAAAAAAAAACCTGGGCGGCAAAGGCTGAGGACCTGGCCCCCCTTCCCTCTGGATCCCCTCCAGATCCTACTTCCTGGTGTCTGATCCTCACTGGCTTAAAGCCATGGTTTCCAAACTGCAGGTCACACAAGGCATCATTTCAGGGAGTCGAGGCCAGTGCTTTAAAAAACTGAAAGAGAATAGAAAGAAAAATAGCAAAATGCATCATATATTAAGGTTACGTGTTGTTGGGAAATATATATGTATATATATTTTTTTAACTGTGTCACAGTCAGAAAGTTTGAAAAACATAAAGTGATTAAGAACAGTCTTGAGACAGCAGTCCAGCCAGAAGGCCCCAGCCCCTTTCCAATTCTGGGCTCTTCCTCCCCAGACCAAACCAGCAAACCAGAAAGAATGATAAAAAGGAGAGTAGGACTCTGACCCCTCACGGTGACCAGTTCACTCCTGATGGATCTAGAGGGCTCCACGTGGGTCCCGGAAACGATCCTCGCTTGACATTGGAACCATATAGCATGGTCTTGCTCCTCAACTGTGAATTTCAGCGTCACAAAATTCTGGTTCTGGGAAGTTTTTTCTCTTTTTTGCTTGACGCCTTTTACATTTAGTTCGAATTTTTCAATTGTGAAATGTATTGGAGCCTTTTCCTCTGGGACAGAGCAGTTGACCATCACGACCCCGCCTTCTATGACCTCCTTCTTGTCCAGCGTCACCCTGGGATCAGACACTCCTTTGGGGGAAGAGAAAGTCCGTTAGTATGTTTGCTCCAGTGGCACAAGCGTCCCTCAGCTGAGTCACTGTGGCTGACCCATCTGAGGGTTCTTTTGTTTTGTTCCCAGAACCTCAGTGCTACCTACCAGGTAATTACTGAGCGAGTATGTTTCCAGCACCGTACCAGGTACTTTGAAAAATATAAAATATGTTTAAGATGTGGTTGGTGCTTTCAATGTTTATAACTCCATTGGGAAGGCAATCATCCCAACTGATAGAGTTAAAAACAAAACAAAACAGCCAGTATTTATGGATATTATTGTGATTGTTGTTATAATTTATTGAATGCCTACCACAAGCTAGGATTGACTTTATATCCATGACCCGATTTTCTAATTCTCATAATAAAACTCTTGGGTGGGCAGGAAAGAGAAAATTATGCCCATTTTACAGATGAAGAAGGTAATACTCAGAGAGGTTCAAGACTCATCCAAAAGCTCACAGCCGTCAAGCCCCAGAGCTGAGACTTGACTCCAGGTCTGTGTGACTCCAGAGCCAGAGGTTGGGGGGTTGGGGGAGAGGAGGGAGGCGTGGCCTCTCAGTTCAGAAAGCAAAGCTGAAAATAACCAAGCATCAGAGTGTGTCATAGAGACAGTGAGTGACGGAGCAGTAGGGAAAGGAGGAGGCCCTCTTTGGCTGGGGGGATCAGAGAAGATCCTAGAGGAATCTTGAAGGGAGGGGGTTATTTGGACACATGAGGTGGGATGAGGGCTAAGGACAGGCATTTCAGGGCGCACATGTGCATGGGGATCTGCTTGTGCCAAGTGATAGGAGTGGCTTTTCAGGAGGGCCGTCTGGAGCCGAGGAAGGGCTGGAGGGGAAAATACAATGGGTGGTAAGCCAAGGTCAGATTCGGGGGAGCCAGGAGAGCCTGGCTGAGACTAGATGTCCCATCCAGCCCCCGTGGTCTGGGGATCATGAACTCCACCTTGGAGTCAGACAGACTTGCTTGTATCCTAAAACTGACTCTTCCTGGATGTGCCACCTCCCCCAGTCACCTAAGACTCATGAACCTTTTTTCTTGACCCACCCAGGTCAGAGATGGAGGGCTGTCCTCTTGGGAAGGAGATCTGTACTGTGTTCTCACCACTGCTATTACTTCTGGTGGCAGCTGTTGGAAAAGGTGTTCTTCTTATTCACGGTTGGGTCCTCAGTCTGGCTCAGAGTGAGCACTCGATAAATGGTTGATGAATGAACGAATTGCCTTTTGTCTACTTCAAAAACCTATCATAATAATCAAGCGTTGGACAGGCCAACTGTGGAGTCAGATAGATCTTGGTTCTCACCCTGGCTCTGCCTTCTACGGGACCAGTCCACCCAACCTCTCCGAGTGCCAGCAGCCACACCTGTACATGGGAGGGACCAGGCTTATCTGCCAGTGCAACTGCAGGAGGAAAACGCAACATGTGTAAAGCACTTAGAATTGTTTATCTCATGAGGGCCTGATAAGCGGTATTCCTTATTGCTGGAGGTAACAATAGTATGAATGACCATTCTGATCACAGAAGTGAGCTCAAAAGTGCAGAAATGACAGCTATGTCAGCAGCTGTCAAGGAGGCACAGGGCTGAATTCACAAACTGTATCCATTAAATCATCCAAGTTTGCCAGCGCATTTCTTTTCAACATACATTTCCCAAACTCTTGGCCTGCCAATCTTTCCTCATCACTAACGTGAATACCTGGACCTGTTGGCTCCTCCCCTGTCCGCAGTGGAGATGGAGGAGGGCTGGTCTGCATCCCTGTGGCTGTTGCCCCTGGTGACACAAAGGGATGTCTGGCCAGCCATGCCCCGACAGACCAGAGGACACCCAGGGAGGAACTGGCCTGGGGGGTGATGTAGTCAGGTTCTCCCCTGTGAGCCTCAAAGCCTGACGGGAAGGTGGCCAGAGGTTGTATACTTTTGAAAGGAAAACGCCCCCAAACACTTGCCCACTGGTTCTTCCTGCTTCTTGTTTGATGAAAGGGTTACTTCTTTCTAAGGATGGTCTGGGCAAGCACCTCGCACACGACGGGCCATTCATTCATCCAACACTCCATCACTAAGAAGGCTTCATCTGCTACCCATTTAATCCTCAAAACAAAACAACCAGGATTTCCCTGGTGGCTCAGTGGTTAAGAATCCGCCTGCCAATGCAGGGGACATGTGTTCGAGCCCTGGTCCCAGAAGATCCCACATGCTGTGGAGCAACTAAGCCCGCAAGCCACAACTACTGAGCCCATGAGCCACAACTACTGAAGCCCGTGTGCCTAGAGCCCATGCTCCGCAACAAGAGAAGCCACCGCACAGCAACGAAGAGTAGCCCCCCGCTCACCACAACTTGAGAAAGCCCGTGCACAGCAACGAAGACTCAACGCAGCCAAAAATAAATAAATAAATTTATAAAAAAACCAAAAAAAACAAAGCAACCTTCAAGGGTACACACAGATTCCCAGTGATCTCTATTTTAGAGACAGGACATGAAGACCTGTCTTCAGGAGGTGGAGAATTTGACCGAGGGGCACTCTGCTGGGTTGGCAACCTCTTTCTCAGCTCTGCGCTTTCACTTTTATGCTACATCCCTTTTCTCTGTCCTTTGCCCCGCTTCACCATCAAGCAAATTCCCACACGATCTTCTATATCTGGACCCAGTGTCCCTTCTTCCAGGAAGCCGTCCCTAACTTCACTAGGCAGAATTGTTTCCTCCCACCACTGTGCTCCCAAGGCGCTCAGATCAGATGACTGTTGGACCGCAATGATTTGTTTACATGTCTCTCTTCCCCACAGGACTGTAACTGCATCCAGAGCTAGGACCTGTCTGATGCATTTTCATGTCTAGCACCTATTTTTTTTTCCTGACTTGCAGCCTTGGGACATGCTTCTTGAAGGAGTAAATCGATGAATGAATGGACGGATGGAACTCTATGACCCAGATTTCCCACAATGATATTTCTCTTGTTTTTCCATCTCTATTTCTACTTGCTGTTTTCAACTGTTTAATTTATTCCACAGTCATTTATTGAGGCCTACTGTGAGCCAGATTTTTGTTTGTTTGTTTGAGATACAAAATTAGACCAAACACCATCTCTTCCCTCAGGATCTCAAAATCCAGAAGAGCAGACAGATATGTGAGAAAGTTGCAATATCGAGTCAAATAGTAATTGCCGCTTATTGGAAACTCATTATGTGTTGGAAATTGCACTAAGCTCTTTACTAACAGGATATCTTTTAATCCTCTTAATAACTTCCTGAGCTCTGTAGTATTATTAGCTCCATTTTACTGATGAGAATTTTAAAGTGTAGAGAGGTTAAGGGACTTGTCCAGATTGGAATCTAGGCAGAGTGACTGCAGAATCCAGAGTCAACACTCAGCCCCGTGACCTTGATACCAATACCACTGAACGCAGAGAGAGCATAAGAGCTGTGAGGACTGGGACCATGGGGGAGATCAGTTTTGTTTGGGAAAGTGTCAGAGAAGAGATCATTGAGTTGAGTGTTGAAGGAGAAATAGTTCACGAGGAGACGAGATGAAGAGGGTATTCCAGGGAGAGAAAATAGCATGTGCAAAGGCATGGAGGTGAGGAAAAGCCTTGTGTACTGGGAGCATGTCTAATGCCTGCATTTCCAGGTTAGGAAAGTGTCGGGCAGATGAGTGAGGATGATGGACGGGCAGGTAGGTCCGGTGTTACGACTCGTTCGATCACCATGCTGGCTCCTGCATGTGTTCACGCTTCACCTGCCTGAGCTGTGTTCCATTCCAGGGACTCACCTCTCACCAACACCGGGTACTCCTCAGTCGTTTTCTCCTTGTTGTTCAGGATCACAGTGCATTTATATGTCCCCGCGTCATAGACCCGGGCTTGGGGAATAAAATAACTCTCTGTGTTCTCCATGGAGGAGACGTTGTGAAACAGCACGTCATCCTTGTAGAACAGCACCTGGTGCTGAGGCTTGACACTCGAGGTGGTGCTGACATCCACGACGCACCGCAGGGTCAGGTTCTCCCCGTTTTGCACCTCCTGCTTCGGCAGGATCTGCATGTGGATGCTGTTGATGGTGAAAGCTAAAGGCCAAGGGGAGGAGAGCAGACACACCTGTTATCTCAGAAACAACATCACCACATCAGATTGGTATCATCACATCCATGCAGTATAGTGTCCAGGTGAGTAGTGAGTAGTGACTGTGTGTGGCGGGTCAAGCACGAGGCAGCTAATACTAAGCTGCTCATATTCCCACCATGACAAGGTGGCAGTCTTCGGAGTGTGACAAATAAAACATGTCCATAAGATGGATGCAGCCTGTGAGCTGCCACATGGTGGCCCCTGGAGAGAGCATAGGATTCAAGTAGACAAACGTTCAAGTCCTGGCTCATCACTTACTGTGTGACCTTGGGTGATTAACCTCTCTGAGCTCAACTTTCTCATCTATAAAATGGGGTTATAATACCTACATAGTAAGTTGTTGTAAGACTTACAGAAGACGAGCAGGAAATTACCTAGTGATTTCCTGGGTGTACCAGTGCCTGGTACACGGTAATTGCTTGATAAATGATGGCTACCACCATTCTGAAATCACATGCTCACGTCCAGCCGCTCCCCCAGCCCCACTCCACCCACCCACCCCCGCCTGAACAAATTAGCACAGTCTCAACTGGTGTTTTCTAGCTGATGAAGTCAGAAGCCTCACCAGATGGGTGAGAACTTGAAACCACTTTTTCTCATGCATCTTGCTTCCCGTTTTTGCTTTGGCTGCTAAAAAGTATAAGCCCCAAATTTTACCTCTAGCAACCTTTGGGATGCATTTTTCTGTGCTAAAAGAGTCACAGTTTTATTTGACTGCCATATTTCCCTCTCATTCTGATTTCCTTATTTATTTTATCCTATTGAACAATAATACATATTTTTTACAAGCGGTCCCAAATCATTTTACAAACAAAAAAAGGTATAGCAAGGTAGCTGGCCAGAGATACTGGCAAAAAATGGTCTTTCTCTCTCTCTCTTTTAATAACGTCAAACTGTTTTTGAACACCTTAGAATTTAACTTGTCTATAATATGTCTCAGGTTTTAAACTGAATACGACAGTCCATCCTTGTGCCTTTTTTTCTGAGCAATTAATTTAACAAAAAATGGCATCTGATTAGTCATGAGATGAAACAAGATGATTGTTTAAATTTATTTCTTACAGCAGTAATCTTTAGAATTCCCTTTTCTGTCTTACTGCATTCCTTATTAGCTCCTGGTCTGAGGAGCTTGCTGGGTGAGCTCTCGGAACAGAAGTTTCTTTGAACCATGTTTAGTTTCCCGTAGATTGATACGTTCCCGTCCCAGGTAGGGACAGGCAAGTCTCCCTACTCCTTCAGTACCTCCTTCTTCATTTCAAGCCATGCTGTTAATACAGTGATTCTATCAGGAGATGGTAAAGAGCAGAAGATGAGCGTAGAGTCAGACTTCCTGGGCCAAATCCCATCTCTGCTCACAAACTGTGTGGCTTTTAGTAAGTTACTGAGCTTCTCTGAGCCTCAGTTTGTTTATCCATAGAATGGACATAATAACAGTAAGTGTAAAGGAGAACCTGAGCTTAAGTTCTTGGAGCACAGTTCCTGGCACAGATGAATTGCTTGCAAAATGTTAGCTAGATTCTGTCAGTCACAGATATAATACCAACTCTTGAGTCTTGAGGTCTCTAAAGGTCTTTCTTGAAATCATATTTCTAGTCAATTTTTTCAGAAAAAAAATAAAAACCCAATAATTTTTTAATTTCCCAGGTGAATTACAGCAACTTCTCCAGACTCCCGGTGTTAGTCATCCCACTGTGTTGGGCTACTTTAGTGTCATCATCCTGAATGAAACGCATACCCATGGCTGGTACACCCCAGACTGGGACACAGAACTGGGTACAGGAAGAAAGCAAGTCAGGCACACCCAGTCCAAACCCCTGATCCCACAGTCATTAGCTGGGCGTCACTGGGAGTTACTTAACCTCTCCAGACTACCACCTCTCCTCCTATAAAGTAGGAACACTAATACTTGCCTTCCCTGGTATTTTAATCTTGAACAATGACGGAACCAAGGTGGCTGAGAGCACTGAAGGGGCAGGTTTGTATTGCCCGATGCCTGGCCCCTGATTGACACCTCCTTCCTGCTTCCTCAGTACCATTCATTCAGCAGACAGTGAAGGGGGCGTCTCTGTGCCAGGCACTGGACCCAGTACTGGAGGTTCAGAGAAGGGTAAGATTGGCACAGTTTCTGCCCACCTAGAGCTCACAGTCTGCATTTCACAGTTCTTCCTTATTCCAGGCCTTCCAGCCTCAGCGCCAGCCCTGCCTGGGTCTCCTACAGACCATCCCTAGGGAGCTCTACCACTGTTTAACAATTTTAAAACAAACTTGGCTAAAGCATCAGGTAGCAGTTTTTTAGAGAGGATGATGTGCACTAACACAAGACGCTTCCGCCTACCTTGCTTTTCTAAGCAAATCTAATATACATCTGCTTAATAAATTAACGCAGCTGATTCACTGGTAGGAACCACACACTTCCATGGTCAGCAGGAGCAGACAAGGAAGAAGAAAGGAAGGCAGGACATGGGATTTCCCTGACGGTCCAGTGGTTAGGACTCTGCACTCCCACTGCAGGGGGTACGGGTTCGATCCCTGGTCGGGGAACTAAGATCCCACATGCTGTGTGGTGCGGCCAAAAGAATTAAAAAAAAAAAGAAAAAAAAAAAAGAAGGCAGGACAGGAGAAGGAAAAGCATTTTTTTTTTAATTATTCAAGATACAGGGCTTCCTTGGTGGCACAGTGGTTAAGGATCCCCCTGCCAATGCAGGGGATGTGGGTTCGAGCCCTGGTCCAGGAAGATCCCACATGCAGTGGAGCAACTAAGCCCACAACTACTGAGCCTGCACTCTAGAGCCCGCGAGCCACAACTACTGAGCCCATGTGCCACAACTATTGAAGCTCATGCACCTAGAGCCCGTGCTCCACACCAAGAGAAGCCACCGCAGTGAGAAGCCCGAGGGCACCGCAATGAAGAGTAGTCCCTGCTTGCTGAAACTAGAGAAAGCCCGCACGCAGCAACGAAGACCCAATGTAGCCAAAAATAAATAAATTTATATTAAAAAAATTATTCAAGATACGGATCTCAGGGCTTCCCTGGTGGCGCAGTGGTTGAGAATCTGCCTGCCAATGCAGGGGACACGGGTTTGAGCCCTGGTCTGGGAAGATCCCACATGCTGCGGAGCAACTAGGCCCGTGAGCCACAACTACTGAGCCTGCGCGTCTGGAGCCTGTGCTCCGCAACAAGAAAGGCCGCGATAGTGAGAGGCCCGCGCACCGCGATAAACAGTGGCCCCCGCTTGCCACAACTAGAGAAAGCCCTCGCACAGAAACGAAGACCCAACACAGCCAAAAATAAATAAATATTAAAAAAAAAAAAAAAAGATACGGATCCCAGCTCATTGACTTGATGCAACAGAACAGCAGCCTAGATTTTATCACCATGACCACCACCCTTCTGGTATCCAGCCTTCAAGACGGGCCCCTGTGAGCCTTGCCTTCGGTTATCACACCCACATACGGTCCCTTCCCACATCAGACCAGGGTTGGTCTTATGACCAACAATACAGCAGAAGTGCTAGTAGGTGACTTTTGAGATTAGTTTGTAAAAGACATTGCAACTTTCATCTTGGTCACTCTTTCCTTTTCTGGGATCATTCACTCTGGGCAAAGCCAGCTGCCATGTCATGAGCACCCCTATGGAGAGGCCCACATGGTGAGGAATGGCCTCGTGAGTGGGCTTAAAAGCAGATTCCCCAGCGTCAGACAAGCCCTCAGATAACTGTAACCCTGACCAACATTTTATCTGCAATCTCCTGACAAACCCTGAGTCAGAACCACCCAACTAAGCCATTCCCAGACTCCTGACCCTCAGAAACTGTGAGATAATAAATTGTTATCTTAAGCCACTAAGTTTTGGGATAATTTGTTAAGGAGCAATAGATAACAAACACACCACCCAACCTTCAAATATCTCTACCTGACTGATGTAGAGAACAAACGTAAGAACACCGGGGGGGAAAATGGCGGGGGGCTGGTGGTGGTGTGATAAACTGGGAGATTGGGATTGACACGTATACACTAATATGTATAAAATGGATAACTAATAAGAACCTGTTGTATAAAAAAGTACATAAAATATTCAAAAATTCAAAAAAAAATCTCTACCTGATTATTAAGATAATATGGAAAATATTATCCTCTTTGTGAATAAACTTTCCAGGAACAGCCAGTAATGAGACCTGTGTGTAGGTCTCATTATTTACACGATAGAGTGATTGCTACAACCCGGGCCTCCCGCAGGTTCACAGATGGGTGTCAGGGGGCCCATGAACCACCTCTGATGCGTTTCTTTGGAGACAGGACACAAAACGTTCAGAACTGTAATGGAAGGACGGGGTTGTAGAATAGCCTGAAGAGGCCAGACCTTTTCAACCTGGAGAGACGAGGGGCTGATGGAGATGATCCAAGTAACAAAGTCACCACAGCACAGATAAGGCACCTAGCGACCACAGCGCCAAATCCCCAGATCCTAAAACAAAGGGACCTGCTTCCCTCTATCTCGGGCTACGGGTCAGCAGACGCTGATGCTCCAGGGAAGATGAGGCATCATGACTCAGCCAGCCACTCGGCCCTCAACCTGGAAATGACTCAGAAAGAAAGGGGGCAGTGGGTAGAGAAGGAGGGGCCCCCCGTCATTGTCAGGAAAATCCAGGGAGCCATGAGGCATGGAGGCTCTGATGAACTGCGGTGCTCAGAATGGAGTGTGCTGACCCAGCTCATCTGAGTCTCAAGCACCTCCAAGTTCATTTCGAGTCCCTTTCAGTGAGACATTTCTTGAGCACCTGTGTCAGGTGCTGGGATTACAAGGTGAATAAGAAAGCATCCTTGCTGTCCTAGACTGTGCAGGCTGGTGGGGACCCAGATAGCTGGAGTACAATCATGTAAGCACCAGGAGGAAGGGTTGCCCAGGAGAGGCCAAGGGAAGCCTGAAGGAAGTGACCCCTGAACTGAGCCTTGGACCAGGACAGGAAAGGGTGGTGGGGTGCTCGGGGCAGGAGAACAGCATGTACCAGGGCACAGAGGCATGAGAAATCAATGCATTCTGGGCATTGGTGGTTACAGGAGACAGAGTGTGAGGCTGGAGGGTCCAGGGGGCCAGGTAGGAGGGGGCAGAACAGAAAGCCTTGCCCACTATGCTGACAAGCTGTGCCCTGTCCTGAGGGTTTTGCCGGGGAGGCGGTAACAGGATGACACTGGAGCTTTAGAAAGATCACTGTGGGCTGGAGGAGAGACTGGAGGCCTGTAACAACCTGGACGATGGTTCAGGTGAAAGCTGATGCAGCCTCTGCTCAGGCAGATGCAGTGGTGCTGAGGAGAAGGGGTGGACTTGAGAAATATTTAGTGTATGCAAACGGACTTGTTTTTTGGGATGAAGAAAATGTTCTGGAACTAGACAGAGGTGATGTTTGCACAACATTATGAACGTACTAAATGTCATTAATAATAACATTTGTAATATGTATTTTACTTGTTTGATTGGCTATGGGGATTGAGGCAAAGAGTGGAAGATAAGGTTCCTGGATTAGGTACCCGGGGGATATGGGTGCCGCGGGCTGACGGAGACAAAGCCAGAGAAAGATAAGGGCAGAGCCAAAGTCTCGGTGGCGCAGCTGGTTTGAGGGGCCTGGGGGACCACTAGGAGGAGATGTCAACCGCTGGCCCCGTGGGAAGCTTGATGGTCAGGGGAGTGGCCAGAGATGGAGTGGACTAGAGGGTGGGCATGTGGAGGTGTACAGTGCGGGGGGGTTGAGCTTCAGAAAGGATGAGACCCTGGGAAAGTCCAAGTCTCCCGGGGGAAAAAGGACGGTTTGTCAGAAAGGTGGAAGAACACCAGGGAAGAAGGTCTACGAGGCCAAAGAAAGAGGCTCTGTGCTAACACCGGGGTCCCAAAGGCTAAGGGCTGGACATGATAATGGCATCTATGAGAGGGTTCTAGTAGCAGGGAGGCGTGGGGGCCAAGGCCAGACCTGCTAGGTAGGGGCGCCTGAGAGGTGAGGAAGCAGAGACGGTGATTAGAAACCAGGCATTGGAGAAGTTTGACTGAGGAAGGGAGTGGATAGATAGTGGGGCACAAGATAAACGGGGGGGTCTGGGGGGGTGGGGGGATTGTTTGTGATTTTTCTTTTTCCTAAAAAACCAAGAGCTACCAATCATGTTTGTAGACTGAAAGGAAAGAATAGATACTAAAAGTGGGGTGGAGGCTGAATAAAGACAGCGTGAGAGCCTGGGGGAGGAGGGTGATGCCAGGGATGGGCTGGGAGCCCAGGTGGACAGGCTGGCCCTGCCCCACCACGGGATAGACATGGCCTCTGAAGCCAGGAGGGAAGTCAGGAGGACGGGTGGGGAGGAAGATAAGCCTGAAGCCGGGGCAGGGCGGGAAGTGGAGGGAGTTCCCTCCAGACAGCACTGTGTTCTAGGTGAAGAGGGAGCTGAGGTCATCTCCTGAGACTGGCCGGCTGGGGCTGGGCGGGGGCCCGAAGTAAAAGGAGAGGAAGGGCCAGGGCGGACCAAGCACCTCAACCATGGAGTAGGCCACATGGAGCAGGCTGGCAGGTCATGCACGTGCAACGTGGTCCTGGGTGGCCTGAGGAATGTGAGACCTGGGTCCCAGCCCCCACTCTGCCAGCACCCAGTGGTGACCTTGCACAGGCACCTTGTATAAAACAGGGCAGAAGCCTGAGGAGGGAGTAGGAGAGCCTCCCGGCTCTGGGTCCTGCGGCTCTGAGGTCTCCCCTGAAGGTACGAAGACCCTTCTCTAGGAAACCTGGGCAGGGAGAGATCTACCTCCCCCTGAGGTGAGGACAAAGATGGGAGAGAGATTGGAGCAAGAGAAGCAGAAGCCCAGAGGCACACGTGTTGGCAGGGTGTGGTCTGGGCTAGAGCAAGGGCACAAGGGCTGGAGTGGACAGAGCGAGGGAGGTGCAGGAGCCATGATGGTGGGTGAGCTAGGACCATAGGAAACCATTATTTACTAATCACCGCATGCTGGGCTGGCACGTCACCTCTTTTTATCTAATCTCATCTCATACTGATGCATCACCCTCATTTTACAGATTGGGAAAAAGGCTCAGAAAGACAGAGTAACAGTGGCTTTAAAGATTTGAGTCAGGCCTATGGCTCCAGGCTCTGGACAATCAGGTTTTGGGAAGGGGAGGTTCTGGTGCTGATGTCCTGCTATCCGGCTCTTTTTGGACGAGTCGGTTGTTTCTCTGAGGTGCAGAGATATCATCAGTCAATTAGGTTGATTATGAAGATAATGGACATCCTGCCTCCATGGGTTGCCATGGGGATCAAACACCCATCGAAGCACATGGACACACGCACAGGAGACCCGCCAGACCGGCTTTGCTAAGTAGCCAGCACGAGCCCTCTCTGTGCAGAGCTACTGCTCCAAGCCTTGGCTCAATAAACCAGTGTCACCCACACACATCATCTCCAAATAGCTCTACAACTGTCTGCAACCCAGTCACCCCGACTCTGCGTGGAATGAAGTGACCTCTGACAAGGGGATCCTGTTCTGTGGGCTCTCCCTCTATTCAGCCCCCAGACCCAGCCCAGTCCCCTCCTTCACACGGTCCAGATGAAGCAAAACAAAACCTGCTTATCTATTTGTGTGTGTGGGCATGTGTTTCTGTGTGTGTGTTGCACTGCCGTGCAGCACGCGGGATCTTAGTTCCCCAACCAGGGATCGAACCTGTGCCCGCTACAGTGGAAGCGTGGAGTCCTAACCACTGGACCACCAGGGAAGTCTCCAAACCCGCTCATCTTAATGATTCAAAATTAGCTCTAAAGTGGATGACAGACCAGATTTCAAAGACAGGCAGGAGCCCCACTTCCCATGCCCAAGCACAAAATATTGCAGATACCATTGTAGCCTCATGGGTAGATGGGAAATGATATCTAATCTGTTTTAGATCATTTAGGAGAAAAAAAAGTCACAACAACAATTTAAACTATGTTCTGACTTCGGGACTTCCCTGGTGGTCCAATGGTTAAGAATCCGCCTTCCAGTGCAAGGGACACGGGTTTGATCCCTGGTTGGGGAACTAAGATCCTCAACTAAGCCCGCACGCCACAACTAGAAAGAAGCCCCAGCACAGTGCAAGGGACACGGGTTTGATCCCTGGTTGGGGAACTAAGATCCTCAACTAAGCCCGCACGCCACAACTAGAAAGAAGCCCCAGCACCGCAAGGAAAGATCCTGCATGCCGCAACTAAGACCCAACGCAGCCAAAAATAGATGAATAAAATATTTTAAAAAAATAACTAAATAAACTATGTTCTGACTTCATGGATTTAACAAACTGATTATATCTCGTTTGTGAATAAACAATCAGGGGTAGGGTAGGATATGAAAGAAAGAAATTTATGGTAGAACAACAAAAAACAAATTATGGAATCATTTTCTTATCACTGCCCCCAATCCTAACAGACAGCAGTTCACCAGGATCTGGAAATGTATGCGACTTCTAGAACATGCTGACTAAAACTTGGCTTAGAATAAGTGTTTTGTTCCAAAACCTTCTTTAAATGCAGAATCAACTTTAGCTGACAATTTGAATATGTTTCTGAATTGTTATAAACATTAAACCCGAGCAATTTGACATGAGTTTTAAGAGTCACAGGTAGGAATTTTACAACTTACAGTTTTCTTGACCCTCAAGGCTTGAACCTGGAAAAGACAGGAGAAATAAGTTGATTTCACGAGCTTCAATTCTCGTGAAGTTTAAGTGATGTGGGAAGAGAGGGAAAACTCACAGAGCAGAAGTGTCAGCAGGACGCGGAGCCACATCGTGCCCCCTTGGGTCCACCCCAGCTGCATCCTGAGAGTGAGCGAAGGCTTCGGGTAGTTAGTTCTGCTTTTGCGCCATGCTCCGGAGAAAGAAGCCACTTCCCACGCAACGGAGGTGAGAAACCTGCCCCGTGAAAAGCAGAGACCCATGTGGGAGCTTCTCCAGGCACCGCGGACAAACCGGCCGTGTTGCTGGTCAGGTAATGGCGGCCATGCTGGAAACCGGGAACAATGCTTGGGCGGCCTCATATCTCCTCAGGAAATGACTGGCCTTCCTGAGGGGCCACCGGGCGCAGCTGCTTTGTTTAGTTTGTTTAGAGGGAAAAAAAGGCACAAGTGACATTTGCCTCAGCGTTCCTGACCCTCCTTGCGTCTGGCCTGGATTTGGGGGCCCCTTCTCATGGCAGCCAGAGAGGGTTCCTCCCTCTCTCTGACCTCCCCGCAAAGGGCTTCTCTCCCTGGACACTCACCAAATCTCTGTTTTTCCTCTGGCCCCTCCAAGGGGGCTCTTTCCATACAGCCTAAACCTGGACCTCCTGCCTTTCCTGACAAAGGCATGGAGAGGGCTGACTTTTTCAGAAAATTGCAGGTTTGTCAGGGAGACCCTGTAATGGCTCCCCCCATTGCCCTGCAGAGAAAGTCAGTTTCCAATCCTGCACGATCCAGCCTTACTTACCTCTCCAGCCTGGTCTCTCACCTCTTCCTTCCTTGCCCCTACATTCTGGTTGCTAGAATTTATAGTTCCCAGAACACATCACATGTCTGTGACTTTGCCAATGCTCTTCCCCTGTCTGGAGTACCCTTTCCCCTCTCCTTTTCTGGCGAATTCCTACCCATTCATCATAACTCAGTTTAGGCATCAATCCTCTAGCATCGTCCCCTGTCTTCCCCACACTGAGCTGCCCTTCCTCTGGGCCCCCTCACCTCCCTAGTCTTCCTTTGTCAGACACTTTCTACCGTGTGCCATAATAGCTGCTCCTCCCCCAAGTGGACTGCTGGCTCCATGACAGCGGGACAGTGCCTGGTACCTAGTAGATGACCAAAACATTAGCAAAATGGATGACTGACTGAAAGAGGACAAGTTAACTGTATTGTCTGAATTAGATGATCATTGCCTTGGGGTAACGGTGCTGCTTTCTGAAATGCTACCCTTGAATACCGTCACACGGTAAAGCTAAGTCAGATTTGAACGGGGACCAGAGAAACCAAAGACTTCTCTGCCTCAGGGCAAGTACCAAGAGGTGGTGGCTTCCAGCTAGAGAACAATACCTCTCTGTGATCTACAGTTCAATGGAAGTTTTGATAAGAGCTGTTAGAGAGCAATGTATGCCTAAAGGAATTTTTTTCTATTGTGTTTTTTTGTTTTGTTGTTTTTTTTTTTTTTGCGGTAAGCGGGCCTCTCACTGTTGTGGCCTCTCCCCTTGCGAAGCACAGGCTCCGGACGCGCAGGCTCAGCGGCCATGGCTCACGGGCCCAGCCGCTCCGCGGCATGTGGGATCTTCCCAGACCGGGGCACGAACCCGTGTCCCCTGCATCGGCAGGCGGACTCTCAACCACTGCACCACCAGGGAAGCCCTCTATTGTGTTTTTTTACTTCTGTTGTTTTGTATTTTCCATTCCCCACTGTAAACTATCTCCTTTGGCAACCTACTGGAAATTACCCCCACCAGCTACCAAATTTTGATTTGGCAGGAAAAAAAAGGAAACGCCCTGAGTAATAAAATAAATGTTGGTTTCAAAGGTAACTTTTACAAACTGTAGAGTAAGCAACTTTTGCTTCTCAAAGTGACATTCAAGCCATACTGATAAATGTCCCACCGCATGGCCCTAAGTTCCAAAGTAAACTTCTAAAAATTAGTCATTGTTTCATCCACAATGCTAGTACTTTTAGAACACCAGGAGAAAATAAAGCTTTATTTCAAAAATGTGTTAATGTTTCAAAAGAAAAGTGGAAAAATTATATCCCACAACTTACACTGTGCACCAGAATAAATTCCAGATTCAACCATCTGAAGGTACAAATGAAACATAAAAGTTCTAGAAGAAAACATAGAATTCCTCATGATCTTGGGCAAAGGCTGGTTTAACTATGACTTAAAATCCAGAAGTCATAATATGAAAGACTGATAAAGTATACTCCATGAATAAATGTTCTGCTTTGCCCCCCACCCCCAAAAAAAGTTCAATCAAGAGAAAAACTATAAACTGGAAAAAATATTTGCAACTCACATCATAGACAAAGAGCTAACCACTCTAATATGTAAAAAGCTCTCAGAAATCAAGAAGAAAAGGATCAACAATACAAAAGGAAAATGGACAAAGGAAATGAACACATAGATAACATAAGAAAAGTTACCTGAAATTTATTTTTTAATTTTAATTTTTTTTGGCCATACTGTGCAGCTTGTGGGATCTTAGTTCCCTGGCCAGGGATTGAACCTGTGCCCTCGGCAGTGACTGCTCAGAGTCCTAACCACTAGACCACCAGGGAATTCTCAGAAAAGTTATCTGAAATTTAGAAATAGGCAAAAAGGATTACAGTGTATTCTTTCAATACAGTACTGGGCATTGACCAGCAGGCTCTCCTAGGGATTACCTGACTCTCTAAGGGTACATAAATCTTTGTTTGAATTGCTACTTACTATTGACTATTGTCAGTAAAGGCAAACATTCACTTACGTAAAGTTGATAGCAATGCAAAAGATTTTGTTACCTGTCGTGGGTGGTGGAAACTGGGCAACTAGGAATTTTTCATTGTAAACCTTTCTGTACTTTTTAGTTCTTAAGTTATGTGACTTTTTATCTTTTATTTTTGTATTACCTTTTAAATTTTTAAGAAATTGGAAAATTTAACAGCTTTATCGAGGTATAACTGACATACAACAACTGCACATATTTAAAATTTACAATTTGGGAATTCCCTGGCGGTCTAGTGGTTAGAACTCTGCACTTTCACGCCGAGGGCAGGGTTCAATCCCTGGTTGGGGAACTAAGATCCCACAAGCCGCTGGGTGTGGCCTAAATAAATAAAAGTTACAATTAGAAGAGTTTTGACATGTGTGCACCCTGTGACATGACCACCACAATTAAGAAGGTGAATATATACATCACCCACAATAGTTTCCTTGTGCCCCGCTGAAACAGGAGGGAAGTGGGCAGGGCACGACCTTTAAAAGAATGACATAGCCTGAGGACACAACATAAACTGATCAGAACCAAATAGGTCCAAGACAGCAGACAAGTCGACTTCCACTAGACCTTGAGCTTCAGTATACCTCACTGTAACACATCAGCAAGCTAAATGACACACCCACAGGCCCCATGACAGTTCCAAGGCTGACCATAAGGGTCAAAAAGTGGGTGGTAGCCCAATTCCTGGAAATCCCCTCTCCTTCCCCAAAATGGCTGGAATACTCCTCCCACTTATTAGCCTATGAAATTACGCACCCCTATAAAAACCGAAAAACCCCATACCCTGGTGCCTTTCTCACCTTTTGTGTTTCTCTCTGAATAAATCCACTTCTTGCTTATCATTTTGTCTCTTGCTGAATTCTTTCTGCAATGAGACATCAAGAACCTGAGCTTCATTAAGTCCTGAGACCAGGTGTGTAATCTCAGTTAACAGACCGTGGGTTCAAATCCCAATCTGAGTTACATGGTTTCACCTTTGCAATCCTTTCTTCCCTGAATCCCTCTCCCCACACCCACCACCCCCTATGCAAACATGATCTGCTTTCTGTCACTATGGGTTAGTTTGCATTTCTAGAATTCTATTTAAATGGACTCATACGGTATGCACTTTTTGTTGGTTTTTTTGGTCTATCTTCTTTCAATCAGCATAATAAGTACTTCATCCTTTTTGTTACTGAGTAACATTTCATTGCATGAAAATACGGGTTTGCTTATTCACCTATTAATGGACATTTGGGTTGTTTTCAGTTTTGAACTAATACAGATAGAGCTGCTATGAACAAGCCTTTGTCTGGACACATACTTTCATTTCTCTTGCATAAATACCTCGGAGTGGAATGCATGGGCCATAAGGTAGGTATATGTTTAGCATTTTAAGAATTTACCAAACTGTTTACCAAACTGATTTCACCATGTTACATTCCCACCAATAATGTATGAGAGTTCTAGTTGCTCTACATCCTCATCAACACTTGGCAGGTCAATCTTCTCAATTTTAGTCATTCTAGTGGGGAGCATAGTGCTTTCTTATTATGGTTTTAATTTGCATTTACCTAATGACTAATGACATTAAGCATATTTTTATGTACTTATTTGCCATTTAATGGGTCTATTAAAATCTTCTCAGTTATTAGCTAGGTTGCTTGTTTTCTTAGTGTTGTGCTTTTAGAATTCTTTATATACCCTGAATATAAGTCCTTTATCAATTATATAATTTGCACATATTTCTCCTAGTTTGTGGCATGTCTTTTTATCTCCTTAATGGTGTCTTTTGATAAGCAGAAGCTTTAAATTTTAAAGAATCAAATCCAATTTATCAATTTTTCCTTTTATGCATCATTCTTTTGGTGTCACATCTAAAAAATCTTTGCCTATCAAAGTCTCAGAAATTTTCCCCAATGTTTTGACATTTCGATCTATTATCTATTTTTTTAATTAAAAAAATTTATTTATTTAATCTATTTATTTTTGGCTGTGTTGGATCTTCGTTGCTGCATGTGGGCTTTCGCTAGTTGTGGCGAGTGGGGGCTACTCTTTGTTGAGGTGCACGGGCTTCTCATTGCAGTGGCTTCTTGTTGTGGAGCACGGGCTGTAGGCATGTGAGCTTCAGTAGTTGTGGCACGCGGGTTCAGTAGTTGTGGTTTGCAGGCTCTAGAGCACAGGCTCAGTAGTTGTGGTGCACGAGCTTAGTTGCTCTGTGGCATGTGGGATCCTCCTGGACCAGGGCTTGAACCCGTGTCCCCTGCATTGGCAGGCGGATTCTTAACCACTGTGCCACCAGGGAACTCCCTATTATCTATTTTGAGTTAACTTTTGTACATGATGCAAGCTGTGGATCAAAGTTCTTCTCCTTCTTTTTTTTTTTTTTTTGCATGTGTATGTCCAATTGTTCTAGCATTATTTGTTGAAAAGACTATCTTTTCTCCAGTGAATTCTCTTTGCACCTTTGTTGAAAATGAGTTGTCCATATATGTGGACATATGTATATTCTGGAGTCGCTATTCTGTTCCATTGATCTGTTTACCCTTATGCAATACTACACAGTTTTGATTTCTGTAGCTTTAAAATATATCCTGAAGTCAGATAGTGTTAGTAGTCCTCAAACATTTTTCTTCCTTTTCAGAGTTATTTGGACTATTCTAAACCCTTTGCCCTTCTATATCATTTTAAAAATCAACTTTTCAATTTCAACCAAAAAAAGCCTTCTGAGATTTTGATTGGAATTTCATTGAATCTATAAATCAGTTTGGGGAGAACTGATGACTTAACAATACTGAGTACCTGACCCATGAACATGGCATATCTCTCCATTTATTTAAGTCTTCTTTACCTTCTCTCAGCAATGTTTTATAGTTTTTTTTAAATAAATTTATTTATTTTATTTATTTAATTTTGGCTGTGTTGGGTCTTCGTTGCTGCACATGGGCTTCCTCTAGATACAGTGAGCAGGGGCTGCTCTTCTTTGCAGTGTGCAGGATTCTCATTGTGGTGGCTTCTCTTGTTGCAGAGCATGGGCTCTAGACCTGTGGGCTTCAGTAGTTGTGGCTCGCGGGCTCTAGAGCACAGGCTCAGTAGTTGTGGCGCACGGGCTTAGTTGCTCCATGGCATGTGGGAATCTTCCCCCACCAGGGCTCGAACCCATGTCCCCTGCATTGGCAGGCGGATTCTTAACCACTGAGCCACCAGGGAAGCCCCAATGTTTTATAGTGTTCAGTATATTTTTCATTATAAACCTTTGTGTCCTTTTTAGTTTTTAAATCATGTGAATGTGTCAGAGTGTTGAAAATCACTTAAAATGGCTGCTGTATCCACCCCAGCCCAGCCCAGCCAGTACAGCAGGGTCACCTGTGCTGAGGCCCCAGAGTCACGTCAACATGGGGCTGGTCCTTCACAGAACTTGTGGATCCTCATGGGAGAGCCTCCCTTGCTATTCTCCTCAGGTTTGTCTGTCTGTCTGTCTCTCACTCTCTTTCCAGGGGAACCACTCCTTCTAGTTCTCAAGGAAATCTCTTCCTTCTCTCTTATAACTTGGCTGTGAGATAAGAACTGAAGCATATATTGTCCATCATTTATTTTATTCCTTGAAAAGATCATCATGCTCCTTATTCTTTATTTGTAAATAAGAATGTCTTATTAAAAGTTAAAAAAAGTATAAAAGGATTTTTTTTCCTATTTCACCTTTTTAAAAATAGGAAATCAAGTGGCTTTTTATATGTGTGTGGCCCCCACATATCTTCCCCTTCCTTCCTCTGGTTCTTAGTGGATTCCTTGATTGGGGGAAAACAAAAATGAAAAAAAGGTTCCGCATAGCTATTTTAGCTTCTTGGTAACTAAACAAGGAACTGACTCCTACATTGCCAGGGATGAAGACCCCAGGAATGCCCACCAGGCAGAACAAGCTCACCCAGGGCCCTATTTCTACCACAGTACTGCTCTCTTCTCCTTCTTCTCAGCCGAAGGGAAGGAGGACAAGGTGTTTTCTACATGCGGTGCTTCTGCCTTCAAAAACCGGGGACGTCACCTTTCATTTAACAAATGACATATCTGAGCTTCAGAATCCCGGTTTTTTGGTGGAGAGTGTTACATTCTGTTTTTAATATGGTTATGGAACTAACTCTGGCATGATCCATATTACGCCTTTGCTCCTAATGATATATAGATATACTGTTCTCTTATATCCCACCATTCTCCCCTTTTTATAAAAGGTAGCATAAATAAATATGCTTGCATTAGAAAAAACAACACAGGGGTTTCCCTGGTGACGCAGTGGTTGAGAGTCCACCTGCGGATGCAGGGAACACGGGTTCGTGCCCCGGTCCAGGAAGATCCCACATGCCGCGGAGCGGCTGGGCCCATGAGCCATGGCCGCTGAGCCTGCACGTCCGGAGCCTGTGCTCCGCAATGGGAGAGGCCACAACAGTGAGAGGCCCACGTACCGCAAAAAATAAAAAAAAAAAGCTATGAGAAAAAACAACACAAAACAGGAATGTCACAAATCTAAATCACAGCAATCCATTAACCGCCTGAAAAAATTGCCTGGTGAAATAAACCTCAGGAAGTGGTTTTTCTGAGAAGCTGGGGTGGGTGGGGGAGGAAGGGCGAGGGAGGCAGGCGGCAATCATGGCAGAGGGCTACAGGCACTGGGCAGAACGGACCTCCCATCTATTTCATGACTACACTGATAGGAAACAAGATATCGGCCATTTCCCCCAGCAGTGACCTGTGACCAGCCCGGGGAGGGAGGTCTGATTAATTAACCTTGTCAAGTTTACGAGTGGGACTAATCCCCCATTGCCAGATTCAAAAGTCACCTAACGGGAGAATGTACACGTACTAACACACAGATCAGAAGCCTGGGTTTCCAGTCCCTTCTCTGCAGCTTAACGGTGTCAGTGTTTTGAGGTTCACTTTCCACACCTATAAAATGGGAATAATATGCCCACTCTACCCATTTCACAGGCTTGTCATGAAGAGAAAATGACAGCTAGTATTTGAAAGCACATTTAACCAGCGGGGCACAATAAGAACAGAATGTGGTAACAATAAAAACAAGAGTAGTAATAACAATTGTTGTAGGTCTGCTTTGGGCCCCAGGTTGCCCCACCTGAATTGCTGGTCTGGCAAATCAGCCATCTTAATGAGCTCAAGCGGAGGGACTCAGAGCCCCTAATTCAATGCCCACCCAGGTGTTGTCCTCATAGCCCCAGTCTGGCCCCTTGCAAAGGTGGGCGGCTGGGAAAAAGGGAAGTAGGTTGGGACATTGTGGAGGGGTCAGTGCTGTTCCATCCCCAGCTGGAGCACCCCCTCCATTCTACTGACAGGACACAGGGTTATATCATGATTCATGGCTGTGGGCATTTTTGCGAGCCCCTTTGTCCATTAAAAAAAACATTATTTGGGGGGAATTCCCTGGTGGTCCGGTGGTTAGGACTCTACACTTTCAATGCCGTGGGTGCAGGTTCAATCCCTGGTCAGGGAATCAAGATCCTGAAAAAAAAAATTATTTATTTTGGCCATGGCACAGCCAAAAAAAAAATTATTATTTTTTTTCATGGGCCTCTAAAAGTATTGTTGTAGGCCCTGGCACTGTGCCTCCTGGGCCTAATGGCTGAGTTGGCCCTGACAGCAAATCAACTGCACAACGGCCCAAAGGACCAAGGGGTCTGCTCTCTTCTGCCCTGAGTAGCCCAGGCACTGGCCTGGAAAGAGGGTCCAGAGCTTCACCATGGGACTTCCCTGGTGGCACAGTGGTTAAGAATCCACCTGCCAATGCAGGGGACATGAGTTCGAGCCCTGGTCTGGGAAGATCCCACATGCCGTGGAGCAACTAAGCCCGTGAGCCACAACTACTGAGCCCACAGGCTG